TCATGCCCTTGATGCCTATTATTAAAGACTTGGCAGATTCTTGTGACATCCCCATTTTACCCTATATCACTCACCATTTGACCAATGTAGTAGATTATCACAAATTTAATTAGAAATTGATGCCAATCCCAATTATGGTCTGGATATGGTAATCTTGAGCCATTTGTCTATTTGCAAGAAAGCCAATTCTTCAAGAATCTCAGAAGTTTTAGTAACTACAAGCTACTTATTAGTACTTATTAGTACAACTACCACACTGTCAGTTGTAGCCTTCCTCTACCCATACCTTTGTAAATGAACCCTCCTCAACAAATAAAGTAAATACACTGAAAAAGAAATTCAAATACCTTTCTATGTCATGCAAAGTAAATGAACCAAAAGCCTTTACAATGGCCTGTAAGATCTTATATGGTTTGCTCCATAATGCCTTTATCTCTCTAGTTTCATTTCCTTCTCCTCTCCCCTTTGCTTGCTTTGCTCCAGCCACACTGGTCTTTTTTGCTGTACCTCAAATATATCAGACATTCTCCTACCTTAAACTCTTCGTAATTTGTTGTTCCCTGTGCGTGGAGTAATCTTCCTGTATTCCTTATCTGTTGCTGTATAACAAATCACCAAAACACTTAGTGGCATGAGATATTTAGAAAGGAATGCATCAGACATCTTTGAGTCCATTTTTCAAGGTCATCCTCCAAAAAGGAAATAATTATCTTGTCAAAGATGGTAACAAACCATTTGCATGTTGGTGTCAGTCCGTAGACCACTCTTTATGATTATTGGTCCAAAGAAGGCCTCTTCTTTAGCAAGGTAACTAAGTCATAGATGGAGAGACCTTTCTGGGCACAACATTCAGATACATTATCAAATACATTAGAATAATGGTTTACGATGAGTTACAGGATTTTCTTCAAAAAAGAATTTCTTTTCCTAAAAGTGAAAAGATATTTGAGGTGATTTGTTTTAAATTTTGCTGTAATTGTTGCTGTTTTACACAGCATTTTTCCACATACATATTTGTCAAGGGCACTTAACTCTTCAAATTTTAAATTGGAAAGGAAAATCATATAGCTGAAAGCCAAATGCGCATTCTAAAACAGAAATTCTATACAGAACATAGAATTAGAGAATTGTTGTTGTTGTTGTATGTGCCATCAAGTCGGACCCAACTCATAGCGACCCCTCCTTGGGTTTCCGAGGCAGTATCACTACAGAAGTAGATTGCCCCGTCTTCCTTCCGAGGAGTGGCTGGTGGGTTTGAACCTCCAGCCTTCTGGTTAGCAGTCAAGCACCTTAGGCACTACGCTACCAGAGCTCCCGAATTAGAGAGTAACAGAGTATTATTAGATATAACTCCCAAAAGCTCATTGCTGATAAGTCAGTTGCTACACCATGTGTTGCAGAGTATAACTGTCTCTAGGTTTTTATTGGCAGTAATCTTTACAGAAACAGAGCAGCAGGCCTTTCTTCTGCAGTGCTGCTGGGTGCATTTGAAGTGCCAACCTTTAGTAGATGAGTACAAACTCCCTAGGCTGTACCTATGTTACTAGATATACTTACTATCTATATTATTAGATATATATCTAGTATTTTAACTGATCGAGCTATATCTATTAAAAATAGTTGAATACAAAACTAACTTTTATAATTATATAAATGATGGTCATTAACAGAGCATTTCAAGGGAAATATGATCATTAGACAATTTTATTATATTTTTCTCTATTAAATAAGTGTGGGCTTTTTTATTTTAAAATATGAAAATACAAAAATAAGTGATAAACTTTCCTTTAATTTGGACTTAAGTTTTCGATACCAAATAAATTACATGCTACTTAGTAATAAAATTTTATGGTCTAACGTTGCAAAAGGAGGGGAAAGTGCATATAGATTACTTTTAAAATATAGTGTACTTTGCCCTGCATCCTCTACTCCTATTCCCCAAGAAGTTTACGGATTTTTCAAGGCACCAAAAACTGGAACATAGGTGGTTTTATGACATTCAAATCCATCTGAAAAGACAATATTTGGTGGACTATTTAAATTTTTATATGAGTTCTTACTTTAGTAGATACATTTTGGAGTTATTACATTAATACATTGAATAACTTGAAAACTGCTTACTTTTTATTTTGTATTCAGTATGGAAATTTATTCCCAGAGCGGAGCTTTTCTGATGCAGAATCGGAATGCTTGTGTAGTCACAACAGCTGTCCCCACACCATGTGGTATCTTCCATTACTTTACTGTAGAGATGAATTTTTGGCCCAGTGTTTCAGTAATATTGGACACATATGGTTTTAAGTGGCAAAGCAGTATGCTTATGCATTCATTTGACTTTCACAGCTACAGTTGGCTCCAGATTAGAACAAGGAGAATACATTCACACCACGGCCACCCTCATGGCTGTTGTAGGAGCTGGATCACAGTAGGCTCTGTTGCTTCTAAAGACACAACTAACTATTGCTGAGGAATTACGCATTCAGAAAAGTGCCTTACAGCTGTAGGAGAGAGAATAATGACTTGCTAAAAGGATTCTCTCAGAGACTTCAGATTATGGTTTTAGTTATTGTCGATCTAGGTTTTGTTTTTTTAATATTAATAATAAAAATCATGACCATGAAGTAATTATGAAGTAAAAGGAAAGCTAGCCATAGCAATAGGTGATTTTTCAGGTTATCAGCCCACATATTTGATTTGTCAAATGGTTTTCTTTCCAGAAAAAAAAGAAACACTATACTTTTATACTCTCATTATTAATAAGGAATTAAAACCAGATTCATTTTTAATACTCATTGTTCATATATGCAGCATATTTAGAAAGCCAGTTTATTTAAAATATAAATTATTTTTAGTTTAGTATGTAAAATAATGTTTATATTTTTGACATTTTAGACAATTTTGTTTGCACCAAAAATGTTTGTTATAATCAATGCAGAAATAAGATGATTTGATTTACTGTGAAATTGCATGGATAATATGATATGGTTTGAATACTGTATTGATGAATTCAGTACAATGTATATGCGGTTTCAACTTCTTGCTATTCATGGTATGATTTTATACTGCGAGCTTATATTTAAATTCTGTTTAAAACTTAACTCTTGCATTTCTGAAACCAATTGGTATATGTATTAAAGCTTAACTTGTAGCAATAAAAATATTTCCTTGAGAATCAAATTACATTTCTGTCACTAACATCTTTTCATTGTTCCTTTAAACTATGAATTAAAAAAAAATACTTTTCCCCCTAAATAAAGTTAAAACAAACAGAAACCTCAGTGTAAATTTTTAAATCATCTGACATGCAGAATTAGATTTCTGATATTCATTAAATATCAAAGAAATTCCGACCATACCCAATGTAGGCTCTTTTTATATGTGAATTTATGCATGTATCCTATAGACTATACAGATGAATATGTTTGAGTCTTTCAGCTTTTAGTGGATACAAAGTAGAACGATTGATAAAATCCTCCCTACTATTGGCTATTATTTACTGACTCTTAAGTGGCAGGTTGTATTTATGCCAATTTATTTGCTTCAGGGAACATTCTTGATAGCAGAACAAAGTGAATAAAAGTAGTTTGCTTTGCAAATGAATGCAAATGGGAGAGCCTTTCGGAAAGCCCTTTAACAGGGGCAGTGCACTTTGATTATGAGTGAAGCTGCCATTTGGACATGGTGAAAAGAGCACGCTTGAACCATTGATTGGGGGAGACAGTAAAAAGTCAGGAAGGGCCCCGTTAAGCTTGCAGTGAGGCAGGCGGATGTCAGTGTGGTTAGAGCACAGTGGGAGAATGACAGGGAGGATTAGTGTCAGGAAGAAGCTTTGCTGTAGCTGTGGAGATAGTCCCTGGGGTCACTCACCTCTGACTGTTGTTCTGTGCTGATGGTTCTGTAATGCAAACTGCCTGATGTATGCCTGTTCATTATCGGAAATGGTGATTAGAAAAGGTATTTGTCTCAAAGGTTCCTTTCTTTCTTTTCTTTTCTTTCTTTTGCCTTTCTTTCTAATTAAAGGAAAATAAGGTAGGCTTCCTTCATCTCTCTACTGACTCCTGAAGTATTATTTTATACCAGAGTGGTTACTGCCTCTGGTGAGTGATAGTTTAGTGGTAAAATGTTGTGTAAAATAATTGTAGCATGGTCATTTGTTATTTGATTATAGTTTTTATTTGCATTGCTCTCTTTTGGTTTTCACCAGTGCTGAGTAAAATTAGAGAATATGTTTCCTATTAAGATTTTTGCTTTTGAGGTTTTGTAATCTGTAAGGTCTTTCATTATTTAGCTTTATAAGAGCTAAATAGGAGATTTTCATTGTCTCAAAAATAAAATATTTTGCATGGACTTAATGGTATAAGTCTTGGTCACAGCGGTTTCTATTTGTATTTCTATTCCCAAGTTTTATAAAATGCTAACATTCACCATGAGCTACTAAGTTAAACTTCTTGAAAATACATTGTTTTTAAAATTGAGTATTATTTACATAGAGTGCATGAAAAAAAATATATCTTTGTCTTGGTTCTGATTCTAATTCAGTGCATTTATTTGCCCACATTTTCATTTATACCTGTAAAGTTTTCTGCTTTCTTTAAAATGTATTTTTTTTTCTTAAACTGTAAAGACCTCTTATATTAGCATTATTGTATAAGGCATTTATGAGCTGCAGTGACACAATATATTTCATAGGTTTTGAGAATAGTTCCTCACTTTAAAGCAAAACTGAATTGTCTTTTTTAAAATGTCTCCAGAAGCCTGATTTTGCAACATTTCTGCTTTCTTATTTCTTATAGATAGGAAAATTGAAAAAACTGCTAGAGCTTTGCGCTCTCATGTTAAATACGAAACACATACTTTACATAAACTACTAGATTGCATTTTAATATTGTTGACTTTTGCAGAAACCATATTGCCAATGATTTGGTTCACGGGCTTGTTAAATGTCTTTCCTTCCCAATTATCTTTCTTTCTTTTCTTTTTTTTTTTTTAATGTTTTGCAGGCACCTGAATGGACAGAAGAGGACCTCAGCCAGCTGACAAGAAGTATGGTTAAGTTCCCAGGAGGGACCCCAGGTCGATGGGAAAAGATTGCCCACGAGTTGGGTCGATCGGTGACAGATGTGAGTTCACTCAGATTTGCATTGTATGGAGGAGTGACAAACCAGAACAAGCAGACTTTGTAGAAGGCAGCATAGATGGGTCCAACATTATCTTTGGAGAAAGGCTACAATCTTTTTAGGACCTGGAAGTGAACCATTAACGAAATAAGCAAGAAGCAGATGTCAGCTAGTCCCCTGGTCCACAATTAACAGCTGTAACTGATCAGTGTGTGAGGGATTCTAGTGCTTAGAGACGTAGGCTACTGTAACCTAATCACAGAAAAACAATGTTTTTGTGTTTATAGTGATCCCTTTAACTGTGGAAAAATAGTTCTTAGACTGATCAGTTAGAGAAGTTGCATTTCAACTGGATCTTTTTAATACTGAAATACAGATCATTTTAAATGAGCAGTATTCCTATACTGCAAATGGAATGTTCAAATTTTTATTTCAAGATTGATACCTACCATCCATTTTGAACACGTTTTTGAACCAGGAGAAACAAAAAAATAGAGAGATGAATGACCATACCTAACATTTAAAAGACAAAGTGTTTACTTGAAAGTTTTTGGCTCATCACTTGTGGATGAGCCAAATTTTATTCAGGAAACTTAGGGCAGAGAATCTTATAAAAACACATAGCACAATGCCTAACATGTACTAAATTATCAGCAACTCTTTAATTGAAATTGGAGAAAATTTTTATTTTCATCAATATGATTAGTAAGATATAGTTCATAAAGAATAGCAAATATTCTTTACTAAATAAAAAAATGCTTTATTAAATTTAAATAAATCCTACAGATTTAAAAGTTTGAAGGAGTTGTTGAAAAAGAAGATTCAAATATTCCCCTCAATTCTGTTAGTATACCTTTGGGTCTTTTTTGATACCACCTAGTTTGATAATGATTGATGATAAACCCTGCGAAATGATTAAGACAGGTACAAAAAAGAGCAGCTTGTTACATAAAGGCTAAAAGTTCTTTTCCATGGTTAACTTCCACTTTTTTATTTAGAAGGAAACTTACAAAAAATATTGCTGTCAAATTATCTTTCTTTGATGTGTGTGTGTAGGAGCTGCTTTGGGAATTTTAGAGTACATATTAATTATTGCTACTACCATATAGGTCTTTTTAAAACTACATTTAAAAAAGAATGTTATTTGAATTTTTATAAATTTTTTCATTATTTTAGCTTTATTGATTAAATTTGATTATGTGCAAAAATAGTTATTGTGGCTTATAACAAAAATTATTTTTGTTCTGTTTCATGAAAAGACCAGTTATCTTGGATGATTAAAAAAGAACCATAAGGACCTTTTTCTTCAGCTAAGAATGTTACTGGGATATGCATTGTATTATCTTGTTTTAAGATTAATTAATAATGACTTATCAGTAAACATGAGACTGAGGTTGGTTTAGTGCGTTATCAGTAAATATCTAACCAAATTAAAGATAGTCTGTGGTTATTGATGTTTTAGTTTAAGTACTATGACCTTCTGACTGCACAGCTACTGTCAGTGTAAATCCACCAAAAACCAAACCTACTGCCATCAAGTTGATTTTGACTCAAAGCAACTCTGTAGGACAGAGTATTACTGCCCCGTAAGGTTTCCAAGGCTATAAATCTTTATGGAAACAAACTGCTTCATTTTTCTTACCTGCAGAACAGCTGGTGTGTTTGAACTACCTAAAAAAATAGTTCACTCATTTATTGTCTCCATTGAAGATAGCACCGCCTTTAACTTTTTATTAATATTTTCCTGGGGCCAGAAGTAGATAGGAAATGGAGTAGAGTGATATTTTTAATTAATTTGTTGTCATTAAAATCTGGTTAAATTTTATCAGTGTTTTTAAGAGTAGAGAGATAAAAGTTTAAGAACTGCACAGAATATACATAATAAAGCCAGTAAATCCATGGGATGGGTAGCTGTCTATCATAGATAAAAATCTATACCTAATTTATAAGAGTAGTCTTTGTACAGGCAAAAGCATAGTTTCATTTCTTTTTTTCCCTGTAGAATTACCCAAGGGAGACTGATTCCATATCTGTAATAAAAAACAAAACCCACTGCCATCTAGTTGATTCCGACTCCTGGCAGCCCTAAAGGACGGAGTAGAACTGTCCCATAGGGTTTCCAAAGTTGTAAATCTTTACGGAAGCAAACTGCCACATCTTTTACCTGTGGTCCAGCTGGTGGTTTCAAACTGCTAAAATTTGGGTTGAGAGTTGCACTTTAACCACTGTGCCACCAGGGCTCCTTATGTCTGTAATAGATACGTTTTATTTTATTATTAAAGTGGCAAACATAACTTTTGAAAGTTTTGAGTTTTCTTGCCAAGTATTAGTTCTATTTTCATAATACCAAATGTACCTTGGAAATAAACATTTGATAAACGTAAACTTTTGTGGTACCATAAAATGTTACTGTAATTTTTATTCTTTTACTTCTGTCAGCTATATTTATATAGACTCAATATAATTTCATTTTGTGAGCATCATCTTCATAGCTGAATTACACATTTCATTTGGTAACTATACTTGCGCGCACACACACAAAAAAAAACCTTCAGATTACTCTCTAAAAGAGAACAGGTGTCTGAAGACAGATAATTTATGTTTTAGTAAAGACACAGGGATGACTTGTGAGTCACAATGAAGCAGCTGAAAGGGGTTCAACTAGTACAGTTCATGTAGTAAGTAAAAGTTAACCGCACTTTAAAAGATCACTTATATTACTTATTGATTGATGGTGTTAATTAGATTTGTTGTCATTAAGTACTTGATTTTGAAAAAGAAAGTCAGTTTGCTATAATCAGAACCTCTGCATACTGGCCATGTCACCTGTGCCACTTATCCTGTCTTTGCACATCTGTTCTTTGACCTGTTTTCCTTACTGAATTTAGCTGCAGGCTTACTTGTCTTTCCTTAGGGAAACAATTGACCTTTTTTTGAGAAGGGTAGGAGGGTACCAGTGGTGGGATCTACAAATTCTTTATTTGGGTTGGCAGATTTTAGTGAAAAGTCTATTTTATTCTGCAGTTAAGAAAGGAGTTTTAAGTGTGTTAACTGTCATAATTAACACAGATTGCTGAATTCTAATCTGGGTAGATACAAGCACTGTTACCTTTTTTAAAAAATCCAAGAAAATATATTTTAACTAAGATATACCTAAACTGTATGACCTACTTTATTACAGATTAAATGTTTTCAGTGTCACTGTATGCTTTTCAGCAAATAATTTTGGTAACCACAAAGGACACTCAAATTATGAAAACAACAGAGGAAACAAAAACTGTCTGGCATGTAAAACCAACTTTAATGTGATTATTAGCTTCAGGTTTTCTACATTAAGGTCAGGGAACACTCAGATTTCTTGCTTGTGAAGTAATGTCATTATCTTGCCTGAAAAGATGTAAACTGATTCTGCTTTTCTCTGTGACCACTAATCTCTTGCATTCTGGTTGTGATAGCAGACTGATTGGAGATTTTCTGCCTGCTTGAAAAAGGCCCAGGTAGGCAGCAAAACAAAAGACAGGTGGATAGATTTAAGCAGACTTTTATAATTAGCTTAGTGCCCCAGTGAGATGTGTAGTTAGATAAAAGTCCTTGCAGATGAGAAAAGAGGAAGAGAGAAAATAATAAAATTCCTAGTTTTATTTTACATGGCTAGAACTAAAGAGAGAATAGAGAAGCTATCAACTGGGGAGAAATTTCTATACTGTTGTTATGATATGTTTCAAAAATAATCGATTAAGTGGATTGTTCAGTTGAAAATAAGTTTTATGATTTATCATTGACAAAGAGTTGATGCCTTTGAATTACGATGTTGGTGAAGAATACTGAAAATACCATGGACTGCCAGAAGAACAAACAAATCTGTCCTGAAAGAAGTACAGCTGGAATGCTCCTTGGAACTGAGAATGGCCAGACTTCATCTCACCTACATTGGTTATTCCCTGGAGAAGGATATCATATTTGGTAAAGGAGAGGGTCAGCGAAGAATGTGAAGTCCCTCACAGAGGTGGATTGACACAGTGGCTGCAACGATGGGCTCAAGCAAAGCAAAGATTCCGAGGATGGTGCAGGACTGGGCAGTGTTTCGTTCTGTTGTACATAGGGTGTCTATGAGTCGGAGCTGACTCAACAGCATGTAACAGCAACAGTTTATTTACAGACATTTTATTGTGGTTTGGGTGAAATTAGTTTCCCATTCAACAATATATACACATTTTGTTTTGTGACATTAATTGTGATTCCCTCAGTGTAACAGTACTCTTCCCACTTCCTCACCGGGTTCCCTGTTTCTGTTTGTCCTTCTTTCCTACCCCTTCCTACCTCTGAACTTTGTTTTTGAGCAAGTGCTGCCCTTTTGGTCTCTTACAGTTGATTGTTCTGAGGAGAATGTTCCTCATAGGTGTTGTTTGTTCACTTTAGGACTGTCCATTGTTTGGCTGAAAGTTAATCCCTAGGGGTGGGTTTAGTTTGAGGCTTGAAGGATATCTAAGGGCCATAGTATCAGGTTCTGCCACTCTCTATCAGACCAGTAAGTCTGGTCTTTTTTACGATTGTGAATTTTGTTTTTTGTTTTTCTCCCACTCTGTCCAGGACCTTCTATTGTGATCCCTATCAGAGCAGGGCAACATCTACTTCTTCTGATCTCAGGCTAGTGGAGGCTGTAGTTTGCATGATCCATTAGTCCTATGGACTAATATTGTTTCCTTGAGTCTTCACTTTTCCTTGCTCCAGACAGGGAGAAGCCAGTGGTTGCATGTTAGATGGCCACTTGCAAGCTTCTAAGACCCCAATGTAGTATTTCTTTTTGGCAACTATATTATTGATCTTACTTTTAAAGTCACACTAGCTCTGTGCAAGAATGTAAAGATGACAAAAATTTTTTTAATAGTAATTCTCTTATTTAAACCTAATCTCACATTTCTCTCCTTCCCTTCCTCCCTTACTCTATCTTTCCCTCACAACTTTTAAGGATGTTTAAAATTTTGAAGTGAATGGGTCCTTTA